CCGCCTGACGCTGGAATGACACACAACAACATCTTATCTGGAATCAGAGCAGGATGGGCTTTTCGAACTCCCAGCAAAAATACGGCATAGTTGCAAAAACGTGGTAAACAAACTCTTACTTACGCATTCTGGCTTCGGCTGCCGCTTTCGCTTCCCGGGGTTTGGTGTATCTGAGATGTTACAACCCGGTTGATAACGACTTCCACGAACCCCAGGTCCCTTCGACCTTCATCGAAGGAAGGTAGCATTAGCCAGACGTGGGAGGACCTTGAAGAATGACGCTTTTCCTTTGCCTGTTCAGCAACAATTCTTCTGATTCGTCTAGCAAGATTTTCAGATTTTGAGGATGTGAAAATGGAACTGGAGTTTCCACACCCTTTGCAAAAGGGACTTTTGATCTCCCATTGCATAAAGCAATCTGAAGATTAACAGGACCTGAGTTCTCTTCGAAATGCTTAAGGAACTGTGTTTTGTCGGGTTTCACATTATATTTGCTAAAAACTCTCCGTATACTGATCAGGTAACACTTAAAAACTGCCATGACTCGTTAAAGCTAGGAGAGGATGTCCTGAAAGTAAAGGTGAATATTTGTAGTAAAAATTGATTTTTGACGAATCCCTTGATAGATTGATTTTAGCATGCATTTCATTTCGTTTGAATAGACAAGTGCAATAGATTCATGAGTTGACCTCACCGGAAGTCTACGGAGGATTTCAATTCATCGTCCCAAACCTCTATGAATCCTTGATGAGCTTGCGTCTGTCGTTTTGATGGAGGATTTTCTTGCCTTCATGTTTAATAAACTAGTCTAAAGCATGATATCATACTCTGACAATATCCGCCGCATGACAGATGAAAGCTTAGCAAGGATTCATCAGGTTCCTGGTACAGTTAGCTGAGGACTTTTTTTAATAAATTTGCAATCACAGCTTTGAGTCAATTCCCTTTCGGGAAGTCCAACTTACGAATCCCTTCCACTCGCCTCTTCAAATAAACTCATAAGTATTCTAACAAATTTTTGATGTGGCTCGGAGGTATAACTATATTCTGATGGATGGAGCTAGTCAAGCTCCTGAGTCCACGTAGGGGCATGTAAACAACTACGTGGAGCTCATTTCGGCTGTAGGCTGGCTGATTAAACCAAAATACTTGAATATTCTGCCGTTCGGAATACAATGCTGGATGAATTTTGGCCAAAGTGTACCAGATGAATCGGAGCATCCTACATTCACCCTAAGAGAGTATCGTTTTTAGCAATAATCTGAAGAAAAGGATTCATGTGGAAATTCGGGCGTGAATCTTCTTTAGCCATTAAATATATGTAGAATCGACGCAGCTGTTAATAGACATTACCTGGACTCATATATCCCACATTTAAACGTAAGCGTTATTCCTATACCTTCCTAAGGGCCAATGTATCAGTAGGCTTCCTCTCGTTTTCCCAACTTTGTCGTATTGTTAAGGGGACCTAGATGAACACACCTTGTCAAAAGTCATCTGCCATAGTTGTTATATTGATTCCTAGCGTCGGACCGTAGATCTGGTACATTCCGATACGTTTCGTTGGCATCGTGGTTAGCATCGTCTGTGAGTATTGCCATTCTTAGCACCACATTACAACTCGTCAATGGTTGGCGCTAAAAATGGCAAGACTTATTGACGAAACTGACTACGTTGCCGGCGGAATGTTTGTGAAGGTGCCAAATCCGCGATTTGGCATTGGCAATTATCATGCCAATGGTTGAGAGCTTCGGATAAGATGGTTTGATTTAGGTCGATCCGAAAGCACGACCAAATTGCAAAAGCAAAGTCGGAACACTGTTTTAGAACGAAAGGAGACTGTGATCAAAACAGAAGCTACAACATCTTGGCCTCCATATCTACGCTTCTGCTCCTTTATTCACATACACAGCAAGGGTAAATTCACATTTTCACAATTAGACCTGAACCTTTATCGCCTTGTTGCCCTTGAAACAAGCTTTAAATAAAATTCGCCACAGCTCAAGAGGAGCTAAGTTGCAATTTTGTGTGATCGACTATAGAATGACTTGTCTAGATTTGGTTTGACCTCATGTTAGCAACTTCTTCGTGAAGAGTATATCCCGTGCTGTGTCCTTTGCCAATGGTGTCTTCTGCTCCTCCAGCATCGGGCCGTAGAATGAATACACTCTCAAACAGTCGGTCGAATTAATATTCGACATCGTCAATAAGGTAAAACCCGTTAAGATATCCGGCATACCAGTCATATTGATCAATTTTGGGGTTCCTGCCCATTCACTCAATACCTGACTGCGAGAGTGACCACTCTTTGTATGCATACAGATCTCGAGTACTTCGGAACTAACAGGAATGTCAACTGGAGTAGAAAAGCGATCAGGCCATTGATTAGGGAGTTGGAGAAGTGGATAGAGTACCATGAGATTGGATATCAGAACAGTGGAGGAGAGTTGCCATAACCGGCCATCTTTTTAATTCGACTAGTTGTAATTCGGTTCTAATGCTGACTTTTCCTATTGATGATGCCAGCGAAAAGTCTCAGAATCTGCTTAGTCTACGGTAAAACGTTGAAGGATAAGCTAATAGCAATGATAAAGAAGTGGTATTTGTTGAGTTATTAAAGTTCGCTTTAAAAATACCGCTAAGTTGCTAAAGCGAGGCCAAC